AACATTTTTGTTTTACTTTTATTTATTTTCATACAATATTGTTTTGTCAATACCGATTCCAATTATATTTACGCCTATCTCTAACTCCTTGGTAGATACTAATACTGCTACATCATCTGCAAATCTAAGGATATTAATCTTTTGTCCCTATATATTTATTTATCGCGTTTTCGATATGATAGATTAAAAAGTAGCGGTGACAGTGTGCATCCCTGTCTGACTCCATTCATAATATTTACTTCTCTACTTGTACCTCTACTAAAAATAAAAAAAGTTTAAGTTTACTTTGATGGTATAAATATAGAAGGTCACTAGGTATACATTGTTAAAATGGGGCACAATGTGCAACCACTGCAGTAGTTATTTTTATCGTCAATGCACTCGAGTTTCACGGTCGAGGGCTTTAATTGACTTTTTATTGTAATGCCCTGCTGCTCGTTAAGACGATTGAACGAAAATTAACCGGTATAAACAACATTTGCTGCCAAACGTGAATACCACATGTATAAAAAAATAGTGCAGAAAAGCGAGCACGTAACCAGTAAGAATTTTCAAGGGCATGTGCATCAGACTTGAGCCATTTGGATCGTCAAGCGTACTAACAACTCTCTATAAAATACCTTATCTCGCATACTGCATTGTTAAGCGTTTGTGGAACGAAAATTAACCAGTTTGAAACACAATGTTGTTTTTAACGAACCATATTTTCCTAATTATTTCTAGAAAACGTAGCATATTTTGGTATTTCTGTTAGAGCTTCTGAGCGATTGAGTTACGTGCGACTTCTTTCATATAATTTTTTTTTATATACTCGATGCTCTGGTTTCTACAGACCAGTAAGATTTGTTTCAAATCGTAGATTTGTTTACTGAAAAACAAACAATCTTATGGAAAACTTAATGAAAAATGAGCAGTAAATATGACTCTCATAATCTTTTATACATCAGTGATCATATTTCGTGTGGGGCTCAGAATGAGCAAGTCAATAAAGTTTAGGACTTTTCCCGTTACATGTACCAAACTTTAGGTTTATATAAAATCTTTAGCGAATGAGTGTCTAAATCCTGAACCGACGAATCTTACACATTAGTTATTTAACTATTTCAATAATTAATTTGATACTTATTGTGTTACTTGAGTTAGTGATTTTGGGATTCGAGATTACATATAACTAGGTACGCGAAAAAGAAACAATTTTGTAATTTCACGTAGGATGATGTCTTCAAATAAATTATAAAATTATTGTTTCATATAAACTTTCTAACATTAATCATTTCATTTCTTTGTTTCAGAGCCCTGATTCTTGGGTGGTAGTTCACAACTTACAAACTCAAGGGGGCGGTATTTTAGATCACGACGATCGCTTGAATGATGTGGTGGACGACAGAGAACAAATACTCGCGAGCTTTGAAGATGGCGACGGAAGCCACCATCACGGCGGCGGCGACGGAGCTAGCGGAAGTAGCTCTGTGGGAACCGGAAGTCCAGATATTTTTAATGTAAGTCTACGGATATTGCTAATTAACATCGAGTTACAAGGTGGAAAATACGAAAGCAGAATACATTTGAAATTAGAATATTATACGATCGCAGAATTTATAATGCAAATAAAAAAACTTACGAGTAAGAGATTCATATACAGTACAAGCTTTATAACTCGAAGATTAAGGGAGACGCTAAAAAATTCGAGTTATAGGAGTTATAGACTTTTCGACTTTTGATTTAGTTGGATTTTATTCGACTTGTAAAAGATTTGGTTTACTTTCCTTAAATATCTTTAAAGTCGATAACATAGTTTTTTAGAATCTTAGACGTAATAATTCAGTTTCAAATTATCGGGTTGTCATCATCATCATCATAAGGTCGTCAGTCCTAAGACTGGTTGGACACGTACCTCCACTCTTTCCTATCCTAAGCTAATCTTCGCATTTCCCTAAAACTAGAACAGCCCACATCCTTAACTATTTGCGAACAGTAATCTAACCTAGGTCTACCTCTACCCCTCCTAACTTCCGTTTCTGCCTCTTATATGTCTCTGACTAGACCTTCATGTCTGAGAAGGTGTCCTACCAACCTATGTCGCCTATTTCTTATTGACTTCCATAGAGTCCTCTGTTCTCCTGTTCTTTCTAATGCCTCTTCATTTCTAACCTTTTCTACTCACGTTATCCTCATCATTCGCCCATAAAACCACATTTCGAAGATTTCTAACCTTTTCTTTTCCGAGTTATAAAGGTTGTAAAGTAAAACATTGCTATGTCGAGATACAGAGGTCCAATTTAATTTTTCGAGTTATGGAGAGAAAATATGTATTAAAATGGCTTGCACGGACTCACTGATTATTTCGACTAATAGAGGGATTAGATTTGATGTAATGGAGGTTTTGAGGCTTGAAGGGAAGGGAACAAGACATTTTTTCGAATTTTGGAGGTTTTTGACTTATCGAGGTTCGATTTTGGTTAATCAAAATAATTCGTTAGTTAACTGTCTGCCGAAAGATAATAATCGAGCAAATTTCTTAATTAATCTGATGTTTTGTTTTGCCCCGTTCAAAGCTAACATTTTATTTAACATTTGCTGAAACCGTTTCGTAATAATTATTTTTGTCCATGTAGGACGGAAACCATAAATACGTGCCATCGTATCCTCGCACTGAAATCGAAGTCACGGGTGAGCAAATGGCCCTGGGAGCATCTGGCGCGTTGCATGTCCGCCGTGGAAGTGAACCGGCCCTTAACCAACTTCCGATAGGGCCGCCACCACCCTCAGATAATATCAAAAGATGGAGTGCCGCCCCGCTCATCCTCGAACCCACCAACACCGGTTACTGTATCAACTCCGACTGGGAAGATTCTCGTAATGAGGACGACGATCAAGGATACTTTAGGATATCGAGGGACGGGAGCAAACGACTTTCCATGCAATTTTTGGGAGATGGATCAGGGTGAGTTTGCCACTTATTTGCCACTTATTTTGAAACTCAATAGGAGAGGGGGATGGAGAAGTTCTATAGGTCATGGGTCCTCAAGAATTAATGATTTACCCTGAATATTACACAGGATGATTGAATAATAAACGAACTCAATAATAAAATAATTCGAAGTGGTCTGTATTCTGTAGAAACTGCCAGACGCGGATCGCGATTTCGATGTTTTTGGATCTCATCAGTACTACAGATGGCGTTCACTGTGCCGTTTGTAGTATTTTCTGAAACGCGCTGTTAAGACAGCAGGTAAAAGTTGGTCTGTGTTCTGTCGGAGCTGCCTGCGACGCGCTGATGAGATCCAAAAAGATCGAAATCGCGATCCGCGTCTNGTAGAGGTAGACCTAGATTATATTACTGTTCGCAAATGTGGGATGTTCTAAGTTTAGGGAAATGCGAGGTACGTGTACGTGTCAAGAAAGTCCCAGTGAAATTCATTAAATTTTGTCTGTTCTATAGAACCCATTTTACTATTTGTCTTTTTCCGTTTCATTGTCCACGAAGAAGGAAGGAAATGCCTGATCCCTCGAGCTTCATTATAGAGTTTACTCTAACAAGAATTGTTATTTATTATAAAAATTAACACATTTTCCTATCGAGAACAGATAAACCACTGCATACTTTACACCGTATTTTATAAGCGCTCGGTAGCCATGTGAAGTAAGGAAAGTTCATTTTATTACGAAACGTTGCTATTAGCAAGGCTAATTAATTGCCTTTGCACAATCAAAATGAGTGTTCACTATGCATTAAAAATGGCGACATGCCAGAGGTTGTCGACCAATATAACTCACGTTCTTTGTATGTAAAAACTTATTGCATGCCGCATACTGCACTAAACTATTCAAAGAATTTATGATGAACAGTATCTAACAGAAAAATCCAAAATTGGAAAATTTTAAATTACTTCGCTAAAACATGCGCAGCAGACGTTTCGTTCTACCGGATGGTTATAATATTATTTTTGTTTATTACATTTCCGAACATTTATGAACATTTCCAGTTAAGTTTGAATCAGTAAATACAATTTAACAGTAACTAACGTTCACTGTATGGAACGAAGAGAACGATTAAAAATTATCTGCAGCTTTCAGCTTTCAAATGCATTGTTGTATAGAAATTACCATTTTACAAAAAAAAAATGAGCAACATTTTCAAAGATTTAAATAATAATTTTGTTGTTATCTGGCTGCACGGTTTACTTAGATTACAATTTTAACATCATCATCTAAATCAACGAAGGTTCCACGTTCAAGGGTTACTATCTGTCACTTTTGTAAAATTCATGACCATAGCCTTGAAGTTAAATCCTTACTACAGACAAACAAAAACTTTTTTAATATTAAATTTGTTTTAAACATCGAATGAAATAAATACATTTATTTAAAAGTTGAAATTCTAAAATCACAGACAAAAATTTCTATTTTATTTATCTGTCCGACATTTCATAGATATCATGATAGATAATACGATGTGGCTTTCTCTTCCACCGTTTTGATTTCTGAACAACGATTTTTAAAAGTTGATATTATTTGCGGCTATACTTTTTGTCAGACATTAGGTTAATACAGTCTCTGTTTAACGATATATTGTTAAGTTAGAAATGTTGTTTGCTCGTTGTAATTGTATTTTAATTTCTAAACGACTCTTTCAATTGGATTTAATGCAGGAAGTTTTTAGACCATAACTGCAATTACTTTTGCTTGAATTTGCAACAAAGTTACCTCCATTTAACACATTTAGGTATAATTCCAAATTCAGTACACATTAACGTCGTGATACTTTTAATTAACAATTGCTAATATTTTTATATGGGCCTAGAAAAAGACGTTTAAGTTTCTTGTTAAAATGTTTTATAACTGCATGTAATTTTTGTTGTTGCTCTACTTTCTCACGTAATTGCGCTTGCATTTCTCAACGTGTGACAATAATTAGCTAGCAGTAATTAGCAAAAAAAAAGTTTCCACAGGTTCATAAATTTTACGTTACGTTAGAAAGCAAATTAAATTAATATGGGTTAATACGTAGATATAACCTATATTAGTAAATGCCTGAATTAAAAAAAGAAAACTAAATTATTTGTGAGCGAAATTTCGTATACCAGATACGTTTATTAAAAGATAAGACATGTAGTGTAGGCTAGCTAGTGGTTTAAGCCCCTTTTTTCTTTTAAAATACCGATATTTTTTGTGGGACAAATGGAAACCGTTTAAACTTTAAAGGGTCAGTAAATAACCTAATGAGAAATGCGCGGAGCATTAATTAAGACTATTTTCATTATTTAAATAATGTTTTCTCTCACAATCTGCTAGCTTAAGATTAAGGTTAATCTCCAAGTTTGACGAAAACGCCCGGAGCATTCAATTTCTCATTTAGCCACTAAATTAGCATTTAATGGGCATTTAATTGTCCACGTGTGTGATTTTGATTTTCCTAAGTTTGCTCTTAATGGACCTAAAGCTACATTAGGTTTGAAATAAACAATTTGTGAATTTTTATAAAATTTTGAAGCTAAATCATATGATTTGTATAAACAACAAAATAAACGATTGAATGTGGTTTAAGTATAACTTTAACAAGTTTGGGTTTGCTTTAAACCTTGTACCTCTATCATCATCATCATCATAAGGTCATCAGTCCTAAGACTGGTTGGACACGCACCTCCACTCTTTCCTATCCTGAGCTAAATTTCGCATTTCCCTAAAACTAGAACAGCCCACATCCTTAACTATTTGCGAACAGTAATCTAATCTAGGTCTACCTCTACCCCTCCTAACTCCTGTTTCTGCCTCTAATA